TGCAAGTACTGTGTACCTTGCGAGCGGTACAACGGAGGAGGTATCGAATTTTTTTTTAGTCGGCCGCGCGTCCCTGAACGCTAGATCGGGTTCAAAAGTGGATTTTTCGCGAGGGGGGAAAAGGGGGGCGTCAAGGTATATTACGCGTGTCCCGATGACATTACCCGGAAACGAAGTCACCGGCATTATTGCCCTGCGACACACGAGTTTGCGATGTAACATGTAACGTAGTTGTTACTGGTGCGGCAAAATTTACATTTCAATCTAGCGCTTTTACTTTAAAAAAAATATATTTAAAAATATTTGATAAACTTTGTTACGATAATTTATAAAAAATCTTAAAAAAAAGGGTAATTTCTATCGTCACCCGAATCCACTGATGTGCCCACTACTTACAACACCACGAGGGATGCAATTTCCTCCCGAGAGATATCTACTTCGGTTCAGGTATACCAGGGAGTACCTACTCGTGTATATATAACTGCAAGTATACAAGCTCTGCAAAGATCAAACTCGAGTCAACGGGGCTTATACATACATACATACATACGTACGATATATCATCCCTTGCATATGTATTTTATGCTATAGTGAAATACCTGCACGTAAAGGTACAACATCACCACAAACCCAAGATGGAAACTGCGCTCGCGTGTGCAAAGGGTAATACCCACTGTGGGTTAATTGCACGACCAGATGAGATGGTCTGGGTGTTGGGTAACAGGGCCATTACCGTTAATCCGCTAACTCGGCTCGATAGGCTCTTGTATGATGTATACCTACACAGGTCACCTATACCTACGTGCATCCTGTACCAGAGACGACGAGACCGCAAGGACCTTCCGTCGCCTTACCTCAATCCTTACGTATATATATATATATATGTGTGTGTGTGTGTGTGTGTGTGTTGCAGTGTCTTGTACAAGCAGTGGATTATTCATCGCCCTCGCGGCTCAGAATTTGGGCCTCGCTCTCAAGATTTTACGAGAGGGAGAGGCGATGTTGTTTGCTTTGAGGTCACTTGGCTGATATCAAAAGCATATGTATGCTGTAGGTACGAGAGCATCAGAGAGTAAAGTATATGTAACAGAGCAAACGGGATTTTTATTATTTGGTAAAGAAGATGTATTTTTAAAGAATAAATCGTGTTGGAAAAACGCGAACAGGAGTCACACGTATGAGACAAGATTGAACTTCGAGTCGGCCCTCGAATGCTTTGGTTCATTTTCAATCGAGCCCTTGTGATTATCATCGCGAGATGAATTCACAGGAAAAGGTCGGGGGACTCGTTGAAGCCATCCATCTAATTCGCGATAAAAAGACGCGCGTCCGCGAGTACGTAATTGTATCCCAGCACTTTATTCCACGGAAAGTCCTTTTGACGCAAGTGCCTTTATGAAGAACAACAACGCGATGACACGAGCGCGTGGCGCCTCTTTATCCCCCCCCCCCATCCTTTTTTTCTCGCAAGTATCAACAATTATATTCAGCGCCAAGCCGTGTCGGCGATACTCATCGCTCATAATCGCGGCTAAACAGCGATCGGGATAAAACTAGTCTTTTCAAGTGCACATCAAGCCCAATCAGCGTCAATTATTACCTACACGCTTATTTGCTTCTTCTTCTTCTTCTTCTCCCTCTTTTCGGCTCTTATTTCCAGCGCGTTCGCGAGAGAACTCCGTACATATGTGTGTATATGTATGGATACACACACTGCGAGGCGCGAAATTGAAATGCAATCACCATCCACGAGTATAAGTATAATATTTATATATATATATACACCTACCCACGCGGATATTGTATACGCCTCTCTTGCATATTATCGAAGCGTGTCACCGAAATCTTTGTCCACCGACTGATACCTTATAGTACATCTCGGTTGACCCATATTTTGCGCGATGTAGTTGGATGCACGTGCAGGAACAACAAGTGTGCGTTTGTTACACAAATTGATAAGCCGCGGGTGGAGGCCTTGTGCTCCTCCTCTCGCGCTAATGACACCTATATATAATCGAGAGAATCGAGATCTAAGGTTGGGTCCTTGCTAAGCCAGGGGGGGGGGTGGGGCATCCATGTTAATTGCCGAGATTTTTTGGAGGGTGGAGGGAGAATAACAGGATCGACGTTGGGGCTTCAATTAAAAAGCCAGCTCGGAGGATATACCGAGGGAAGTATGGGTAATTGAAAAAGTTTCGCGAAACCGTAATATTATACACAAGTACAGTCGTGCACGGGGGGGACGAAGGAAAGAAAGTTTCTGAAACACATTGTATACTTGTTCAACAATATTTTTGTATGCAAGAGATAAAAGAACAAAGCGCTTTGACGCGTAGGTATATATATCCAGGGAGTTTAAACTCGGCGCGTAAATATTACATGAGACGGGCCAGCCGGTGTACATAACGTATAGGTGTATACATGCGACCGGCAGGGAATTTTACTTTGCAAAAGCTCTTGCACCCCCCCCCCTCGAGTGTTCTATAAGGGTAGGGAGGCTGCAGCTGCGTGCCATTGTATTCTCGGTCTTGGTCGTCTGGCGACAGCGATTGCCATGCAAAAATAATCATGCACGCGATAAGACCCGCGCAGTAGTCGCTGATGCAAATATACCGGGGCGTCGGCCGCCGGCTGTCTAAGATTGTGAAATGTGTATACGTGTATATTGTGCGTGGTGAGAGGAGGCACGGAAGAAAGTGGTCGAAAAGAGCGATAGATCGAGGTGAAGATTGCTGCCTACGATGTTAACGTACTTTTTTACTTAATGAAAATTTACGAGGGTGGCTGTATTTATTTTTGTCAACTCGAAACAATAAGTGTGATTTAATGGATCTGCAGCAAAGTGATTAAAATTGATGATTTAAGTGTGAGTTCACCTTTTAAATTCAGTGCATATATTTAAGAATCACCTATATATATATATACACACAGGATGTATTACGCACAAAGATGATTCGATAAATTTAGGTTTAATTAAAAATCGTGTCCATCAGCGAGTAAATTAAATTTTTTCCCTGCTCACAGGTACATGGGATTTGTTATATGAAGGAAATCGGCAAATTAATCGATGCGCGAGTTGGTACACTGGAAAATTATCAATTTAAATTATAACCCTCCCGTACATGTAAACCTTGCACGGTTTGTGTCATATTTCATTAAAATTCCCCGCAAAATTATTGCAGATTGTACTTAATGGTGGAGTAAGAAAATAAATGTGAATAGTTTTTCTTTCACGCGTTTAGCATTAATCACGGGAGTCGCGTGATCAAAGGGATTTAAATGTATACTTATCCGGGGGCATCGATTCTCGGAACGAATTCCCGCAGTACAATTAAAGTTATACCTATAGGCAGGGGAGAACAAACGTTATTTCAAACAAGCAATTTTTATCTCCGGTCCTCGGCACGCGAGAACGAATAATCTCTCGGTCATTTCACGAATCTTTTAACCGTATAAGTGCAATCGTGTCGCGAGTGTTTACGATTTCCGTGACGTACCCCAAAAACGCCCAGAGCCGATCAGAGAAAATAAAAGTGCTGGAAGTCCAATTGAAAGTAAATATAATCGATCAGAGGCGCCGCGTGCGAAGAGACACGTCATGCTCACGATACCCTAAAAAAAAAAAAAAAAAAAAAAAATTTATTAAAAGTCACACGTATACAACATTGTTGTTGAATAACTTCAAGCCCCACCCAAACATCTCACGCCTCACGCGACCAATGTGCAGAAAAGAAGCGAAAGCCAGAGCTTGCAGCTCGTAACTTTGCTCGTGTATGTACGTATATACATACAACACACGGAGAGGCGTACTTTGAGGCACGTGGTTTCGTTTCTGGCTCGCATAAAGTGCTCGAGCGACGAGTCGTTGTAGGCGTCGTTGGCGCCGATCCGCAAGCACGAGGGAGCTTTGCCAACTCGGGAGGGGCCGAAGGAAGAGCTACAGCGGCACGGGCGCCGAGGGTAGTGTCTCGGGGCTGTAAGGAGTAGGATATACTGGAAGCTCCGGGGAGATTTACGAAGTTCGTGACCGCAGTTTGTCGCAGCGGCAGCCGAGCTCTGCACGTAAAAATCTAGGGTTTTTGTTTTTGTTTTTGTTTTTTTTTTTTTNTCAACAACTATATACCCCCCTCTCCTTTCACTGCTCTGGCGAATAAAAAATTAAAAAAAAAAAAAAAAAAAAAGTTTCATCCCCCTGCACGTATAATTTATCCTGCGAAAACGCGGGTAATAACGCGCGTTCGGCAGAGTTGAAAAACAAAAATACCCCACAATCACCACAGCAGGCCGGCAAACTTTTATTACACCCGCAAAAACTTTGTCATCTGGGTCGAAGAGAAGAAAGAAAAAAAAGAAGCGTGGGCGCGTGGGTTTAAGAACGTGCACATCACCCCACGTCCACGGCGTGTGCAGCCGGTTCTCTCTCTCTCCGCCACTTGCCCCGTACGTACAGTACGTATATGTTTTATATTCTGCAAACGCGCCAGCAACTCGTCACGTACGTCACGCGAAAAAAGAAAAAAAAAAAAAAAAAAACTCGACCAGATCTCTCCTCTCATCTTCCTGTATGTATATACATATTTTGTGATTCCTGTACGTACTTTTTGTATACACGTAGCCCCCCGTGTAAGTACCAAGCTTATTCCAGCAAAAGAGAGGGTGGAAGCGAAACTTTACCGATTGTCCAAGGACGACCAAGGGGGAGGGCTCTTTTATCCCTTTGACCCTTTTTGGATTTGCTTCTCCGTCTGCACTGTACATACAGGGTTGTCAACGCGTTGTAATTTGTCACTCGTCGACGAACAAGTAGGGTTGATCTACTCGGGAGATTTTATCTCAAGGAGCACGTTGCTGTCGTGCTATACAAACAAACATCCCCTCCTCCCCCACCTGTATAACCATTTGGCTCCAACAATTTGGAGGGTAGGTATAATAAACATTGGATCGTAAAGATATGCAAAGTGCGTAATGGTGGTTCGATATATCCGGTGGTAGTGACGTACCCCATGAGATGTCGTCGAGCCAGACTTGGGTGTCCCCACCGGGTGTGTGGTCGCCAGCAGCCATGGCCGGGGGCAGGGGTGGCGAGGGGTTCTCGGAGGCCGAGACCCTGTAGGCCGGCATCCCGTGCAACAGACAACCCGACGGCTGGTGGTGGTGGTGGTGGTGCAGGTACTGCTGTTGCCCGTACCTCGGGTAATTGCTGATCTCGGTGCTGAGGGCGTCGTCAAACTCCACGTCGGACAAGCCCTCGATGAGACCCTCCTCCTCCTCGTCGTCGTCGTCGTCGTCGTCCCTGATGAGCTTCATCCGCGAGGAGGCGTGCACGAGGTGGTGGTCCCGGCCTGGCAACGAGGAGGAGGAGGACAACGTGGCCCGGCGTTGGGGGAGCGGGCGGTCCTCGTGGCGGTGGTCGTGGCGATGGTGGATACCGTAACAGCCGGGCAGGAGCTCGTAGTCGCTCTCGACGGGGCTGTGGTTCAGGGAGGTGGGTGGGTAGCTGCTCGGAGTGGGCCGTACCCCGGAGGATAGGCTCTCGGCGCGGGCGCGGGTGGACAAGGTGGCGTACGACGCGGGATGGAAGCCCGAGGTATTGCCGGTGGTCGGGCGGTCCTGTAGGCCACCGCCCTGGGCATCACCGGCGGCGGCTAGCTCGGCTTGGATTTGGTGCTGGTGCTGGGTACCGGAGCCACCCGCGTGCAACAGCTGCTCGGCCGAGAGGGACAGACCAGCCGTGGAGCCCTGGGCCGGGTACGGCTGCGACTGCTCGGTGTGGTGCACCGTGACGAGCTCCGCGACCTTGGGCTCCTGCTGTTGCTGTTGGGAGGTTTGGGGAACCTGTAGCTCCTGCTGCTGGAGGAGGTTGTTGCCGGGCGCTTGCTGCTGGTGCTGCTGGAGGTAGCCGTGGGCGCTGCTGCCCTGGTGTTTGTCGCGGTCGCGACGAGGCGAGCGGCCCCGGTCGCTCACCGAGGTCGCGCTCCAGTAGCCCCAGGCCATTGTTACCACCTTACCCCCCTTTTTTTTTTTATTTATTTATTTGTCTCTCTGTTTATTGATCAGACTTCCGATTGCACGTTCCCTCGAGCTACTGGCTGCCTCTACGTGACGGATGCACGGAGCCTCGAGCCATACTCTATACTACGTGCCGATGCGACCCTCCTCGACCTTGCCACCTCCTCCTCCTCCTCTTTCTACTTCATCTCCTTGTGAGTACAGCGCTTGTGTGGGTGTGTTATTTGTCTCCGTCCCTTCCTTGGTTTTGCCCAGCAAGGGATAATACCAAACGGAGGGTGGGTGAGACACGAGACGCTTGTCCCGGGGCCGTGTGGCGCCACGGGTAGAAGGTTATAGACGGCGGGAGCAGCACCGGGGCGCAGCCTCGATCGATGGGGGCTGCTCTCGACACCCTACGCGTAAATATATATATATATATATATATACATATACGTGTGGTTACATTCAATGCTACTCCTCTGCCGACTTGCGTGTTTACTTTACGTGTGTGCCCCTCGTCCTACTCCTTCCGCACAAAAGCACTCACGCACCTCCTGAATGTCTCTTGCTATGTATACCTATGTATACACTTATAAATATGTGGTGCACCAACACACACACGCGAGCGAGCGCGCCCACGCACGGCTGTTTATTTTATTGTTTCCTTCCTTGCGCGTATGGCGCGATTTGGTGTGTCGGTACCGTGTTGTATTTGTGAATTTTGGGCCTGTCGAGGCGTAAAAAGGAGCGATGCTCCTCCTTGCGATCCTGGGTGGAGCTCGTTCGCCCTGGTCCTGTCTACGTGCACACACTCTCTCTCTCGCCCTTAAAGCTCGCGCGAGCTCATTATTTTTGTAGTGTTTAGTGTGTACCAAAGTTCAATCGTAAAGGAGGCTGGGGGGAGGGGGGATAAAACCACGACGACCACTGAACGAGCCTCCCTATCACTCGCGCTCCGGATTGCATACTGCTGGGGCACGGGTGGCCGCCGAGCTCCGCTTCAGCCACACTACTCTCGGTGCCACCCGGCTTGCTCGCCTCGTTCCCTATGTGCTCGCTCCGAGCCGCTGCCGCCACCCTCTTTCCTGCGACTATACACCCCGAAACGCGCAAACTCCGAACACCCCCGTCGCGAGTGGGTGAGTCTGCCAGTGCGCGCGCTCCCTCCCTCACTTTTTTTTTTTTTTTTTTTTTTTTTTTTTTTTTTTTTTTTTTTTTTT